CTGTTATGTGTCTGAGGCCAGATTTGAACTCAGGTCCTCCTGAATCCAGGATTGGTGTTCTATCCACTGCACCACCTAGCTGTCCCTTAGGAATTCTTGTTGGGCTTGTGTCCAATCTACAATTTCTTTGAGGTTTTGCTTGAAGGTATTTTCAAGTCATTAGCTTCTTCCATGCGTCTTGAGCTTCCCTATCTCCACAGTAACTGTCTTTTATGGTCATTATTATCATTATTATTGTTGTTGTTTTTTGCTCATTTTTCTAGGCTACTTGTTGACTTTCGACTTTATATCATGTTGGACTCTGTTCACCTCTGGGGACAGGGTAGTGGGGAAGATGTCTGGCCTGATGTTCTTTTATGTCGTCCTGCTGCTTTCACAGCTCAGTCTGGCAGTCTGTTAAGTTTTTGGTGCTTCCAAAGTGGTGCGACCTTGAGAGAGGTCTGTTCATTGCTCTCCTGGTCTGCATACTGTAAATTCCTGACTTGGTTTGGGTCTGTTGGGTGTGTTGCTGAGTTTCTACAGACTGCTACTGAATTACTGCCTACCTCTCAGTTTTGGTCTCTTGCCCTACTTTATTTTACTGCAAGTTTATGTATGGGGTTACGGTTAGAACTGAGTGCCCACTCTGCTCTTGGGCTCAGAGCCACACAATTATGTTTCTGCAACTCATGCCTTGTTCCTCAAATAGATAAGGCCCCTGGCTCCCTTGTAACTACAACCACTCCTCTCCATCCTGGAACTGGGTAGTGGGCAACAGAGCTACCAGTTGGCACCCCTTCCTGCTCCCAATGCCAGTATACAGGTGTTCTCTAGGACCTCTTTCTATCCAGGTGTTCAGTCCCGGTGCTGGGCTGCTCCCACCACAGCCTGCTGTTACTGCCATATGCTGTTGTTCTGCTACTCTATGCTCCTGGCCAGCACCCACGATCCCAGTGTTTACAGACCTGTCTGTATTCCTAGGCTGGAGAATTAATCACTGTGACTTTTTTACTTAGCTTTCTTACTCAGAATTTGGTTTGGCACATTTTTAGGTTGTTGCACAAGGGTATGTTGGGAGAGCTCAGCAAAAATGCTGGCTTCCATTTAGCTCTCTTGACTCCCCCTGTGCGACTTATTCTTTTGTTGGACTGTCAATCAAGTCTCACTCCTTAACTGTGGGTGTTCCCCAAAACTCTGTCCTCTGACCTAATCTCTTCTATTGGTGATCTCATCAACAAATACCAAGTTTACATATCCAGCCCTAATCTTAAGTTCTGAATCTCAGCTTTACAATTCCAACAAGCCTGTCAAATATCTCCAAATATCTCAAACCCAACATGTTTAAAAACAGAACTCATCTTTCCCTCTAAACCAATCCCTCCTCCAAACTTTCCTATTTCTATTTCAGGTACCACCATTCTTTCAATTCACTCAAGTTTGTAATCTCAAAGTCATCCTTGATTCTTTCCTTTTCTCCCCTCCCCCTTCCCATTTTAAGTCTTGTTGATTCTACCTTTATAGTAACTTACCTATGTTCCCTTTTTCTATTCAGTCATGACCCAGGTCTGCTCCTAATCACATCTTGCCTGGACTACTGCAATAACCTCTTGATAGGTCTCCCTGTTTCAAAATCTATTCTTTATCTGAAGCCATCTTCCACAATGCTGTCAAAACAACTGCTCTAAAGCAAAGGTCTGACGATGTTATTCCTCTGATTAAAAATCTTGAGCATCTCCTTGCCTATGGGACAAAATACAAATGCCTCAATCTGGTAGGTAAAAGCCTTCTACAACCTGGTTCCAACCAATCATCAAGGATTAAGTCACATCACTCCTTTTTCCACATTCAGTGTTCCAATCAAACTGTCCTATTCAGTATTCCCTTCAGGGTTTGGAACCTGCGGCCTCTAGGTCCTTGGGTGCAGCGTTCTGACTGAATTCAAGTTTCAAGAACAAATCCTTTTATTAAGGGGATGCAGGTTCCCCACCCCCGTCACCTGACTCAACAGTCTATCTCTCATCTCTACCTTCTTCCCTCTGCAAAGGCTGTCCCTGACCAACACCCCACCTCCCCCAGATACTCCTTCATGTCTCAGCTCAGATGCCACAAAGTCTTTTCTGATCTCTCCAACTGTTAGTGCCCGATTCCCTCCCACCTCACCTCAGCTGCTTGGATCCTTGCTCAAACGACAGCTTCCTGAGGCCTTTCCTGATCCTCTAAGCTACTAGTGCTCCTCTTTCCCCTACTTAAAAATTACCTTGCAATTGACTTGATATATGCTGATTTAGGTAGATGTTTTCTCCCCTAATAGAATGTAAGTTCCTTGATTGCATGCACTGTTTTATTTTTGTCTTTGTATTCTCAGTACCTAACACAGTGCCTGGCACATAGTAAGCACTCAATAAATGAATACTGATTGATTTCTCCTGAAATTATCTCATATTTAATTATCTGTTTGCATTTGTATTCTCCAATAGGACACAAGTACCTGTCAGGAGGATTATTTTTTGTTTGTTTTTGAATCTCTTGCTTTTTGCACATAGAAGTTATTTGATACATATTTGTTAAACTGAATTGTTGATATAGTAGAAAGATCTGGAGTCAGAAGACCTGGGTTCAAGTTCTGACTCTAGCCCTTACTGGTGGTATGAATTCCTGTATGTTATTCTGAATTTCATTTCCCTCATCTTTACAATGAAGAGGTTAGACTACTTTATTTCTAAGCTTTTCCAGTTCTAATATTCTATAAAATTTGATCTTTTTCTTCATTGTAAGGCTAAAAAAGGTAGCCAACAAAGAAAGCAGCAAGTGCTACGTATGACCCAACCTTAAATCAATGAAAATTTGCCATGTTTTAATTTAGTATCATGTCTAGACTTAATATGGAGCTAGATATGACTATGAGGTTAATTTTTATAATGAATTGATCAGTAAATTTTTAAAAATTTTTTTATTTTTAGGCAGTTGGGGTTAAGTGACTTGCCCAGGATCACACAGCTAGTAATGTCAAGTGTTCGGTCTAAGCACGGATTTGAACTCAGATCTTCCTGTCTTCAGGGCCGGTGCTCTATCCACTGAGCCACCTAGCTGCCCCTCAGTAAATTATTTTTAATGATAAAGTCCAAGAGCTATTGGTCTATTAACATTCTAGTGGATTCAGAACTTCCAGATTAATACAAGTTATTTAATAGGGATCTTAATAGAATGCTTTAAGGTTTACAAAATGCTTTGATGTCAAAGAAATTATACTCTGCAAAGAAATATAACCTGGATGGCTTGTTACTTTGAAATCACATCTTCATATTAAAATGAGCACTGTTACCGTATCATAAGTAGTTTGGTCTACAGGGTACAGGACCAGCCTTGGAATCTGAAAGGAAGACCTGAGATGTGTACTGGCTATGTGACCATGGAGAAGTCACTTAAACTCTTAGTGCCCCTTTAGTCTACAAATTATATAGAAGGGTTAAAAAAAAATGTGTATCATGTGTCCAACAATTAAGGAGTGGCTAAACAAACTGCAATAAGTGAATGTAATGTTACTGAATGAATGTGATAAATACAGAGAAATAGGAAAAGATCTAAATGAACTGATGCAGAGTGAAGTAAGTGAACTGGGGAAAAACATCACAGTGACAATGTAAATGGAAAGAACAACTACAAAACAATAAAAAACAAATGCTGCAAAATCATAAAGAACAAGCTCGGCCACGAGGAAGAAATACAATATGTGATAACAACAATTCCCTTCATATCTTCACAAAGATGGGGGAGGTGTGCATGTGTGTGGAACACTGCATATAATGTTAGATTTTTTTCAATGTATTAATAGGTTTTACTCAATTTTTTTCTTTTCTTTTCCTTAAAAAAAATTCTTTGTAATAAGTGAAGACTTTCTTGGAGGAGGAAAGAGGCAGGATACAAGGGGCAAATCAAGGCATCATAAAAACAAAGGACAGCAATAAAAACCTGTTTTAAAAATAAAATATATGCTTGATTTTAAAAAATTTTCATCAGTTGAGAAAGTCTCCATATCAGGAATTCCTCATAACGATAAAACCACAGATAAATGACCCAATTACTGGGTATTTCTCTAGGCACAAAGCTATTTTTTGTTGACCTCTGAAAGGATTTATAGGCTATATGTCCTTAATAGGGAGGGTAAATCTATTTATCAGTTTTCGGCAACAAACATTTTTCTTTCCAAATTAATTTCTAGGGTGGAATAATATTTCAATGATCAATCTCAACATCAATAGCCACTACTGAATGAGAAATGCTTATGTTTAGTATAAACTACTTGCCTTCATATACATTAGCATTTATTTTCTAATCCTTAGTTGATTGAATTTCATGAGAATTGATAAACCACTTTTTTAGATGTGTTAATCTTTAAGATCTATCTATTTATCTGTTTATCTGTCTAGCTAGCTAGCCATCTCCTCACTAAATCCTGCTTCCACATGTTTCTAAGGCATAAAGGTTCTTAAGGGCTATACCAATGAAATGCAAATTCTGAAAGGTCCTATTCAAGCTGGAAAGACTTTGAAGGTAGGCTCAATGTCTAATCTATGGAGGAACCTAAGTGCAATGAGGCTCACTATCAAAATACTGACCACTGAGTAATGAAGTTTTTGGTCACAACAACTCAGAAAGATGGTTCAATGTATTCAGGAGTTGCAATCCACATTGGTAGAGGGAATCTGCACACTGATGAACTCATGGAACTCAAAGTACTAAAGTGAAGATAAGTTATACTTAAGAATAAAATTATTATTTTCTTCTGGAAACTAATCAGTGACTTATTATTTCTAATTAATTGAAAATTTTCTTTTATGTATCAGCATCCTTTAAAATAGGTAGATTTTGAAATTTTTTTTTAAGTTACAGATGCAGAACAATTGGAGACTAGTTGTAAGTTTAAAAACAGGAATAAAAAAAATTAACATTCTTTGTCACATAACATGTTTACATGGAATATTACTCTCAAGAATTAATCTTGTAGAGAACTGGCAGCTCACCTGGTTCCTGTCCCGGGCATTTGTGTACCTAATCTTCTGTATGAAGTAAAATATCAGCCATGCTGAAGAAATAATCATCAAAACAATAAAGGATATTGACACGAAGACTAGAGAACCACGGCTGAAGTTCTTTGCTGGTATACGAGTCCCAACAGCTATTGTCATTTGTACAGAGATGTTCTTCTCCAGATAACTCAAAATGTCCTTACCCCTCAATTCTGTAATCATCACAGCAACGATATCTCCAGTTCCTGCAATATAAAAAGACGTGTCACTGAGCTGACGTCTAGACTCAACATCAAGTTATAAAATAAACAAGTTATTTAAATTACTCTGTCATTTGCTGTCACCCTTTACAGTTTAAAATTTCAGATTAAATATCCAAAAGAACTGAAACTGTGATTAGTGTAGTCTACTATCAAGGGGCGGTTTTATATTTGCTGCCAAAGAGAGTAACTGAAAGGATAGACAGGAAGAGTATTTAGAAACTTCTGGGGATAATAAAGCCCATGGAAGGCATAGAGCACTAACTCATCAAGGAAACTCTTGTCAACTGGATTCTGAAGCCAAACTATCCTGAACTACTAGAATCATAGCCCAATTTTAGCAGAACAATACTCAAGCTAGAATTACAACATCAGAATGGGAATAACCTCAGAGAACAAATACACTGTCCTACCCAAAGTCTACCAGGGCACCTTCTCTAAATTATCTTCAACATGCAGTAATGAATCTTCCACTCAAGATCTACAGCAATGGGGAATCTACTTTCTGCTGAAGCAGCCCAGACAGCTCTAACTGTTAGCAAGTACTACCTTATATCCACCTGAAATCTAATTATCTGTAACTCATACTTACTGCTCTTAGTTCTGCTCTTTTAGACCAAACAAAAGTCTAGATACCAGAGGTTCTTGACCTGAAGTCTGTGAACTTGAAAAAAAAAAAACACAACCCAACAATACCTGTATCTCAATATAATTAGTCTCCTTTGTAATCCTATGTATTTACAAAGAATATTCTGAGAATAGGTCCATAGCTTCAACAGACTGTCAAAGAGCCTGCAGTCAAGACCTTCCACAAAAGCCTCCAAGATACTCCAAATGCTCATTTTAATTTTAACTTAAATTTTATTTTTTTAATTAACTAAAAATTTGTTTTCTTCTCTTTTCTCCTCCTCTAACTGAAAAAGAAAAACAAAGCTCTTGTAACAAATATGTATAATCAAAAGAAAATACACTACTGTATACTTTCTTGCATTCATTGTATTTCTTCTTTCTCCTCTTCAATCCCTAAGAACATAATCTTCCCCCCCGCCCATGACTGCCTTTTTTATTTACTCCCTCAATACATTTAGATTTTGAAGGGATACCTGATTCTTATCCTCTTATTAAAATGTTAGCATAACATCACCAAACAACTCCTTCTGATTATTCAAATGAATTTACCTGTCTAGGTTTTCCTTGATTCTTATATCTGCATTTCAAACTTCCTACTCAGTTCTGGTCCTTTCAAAAGAAATTCTTGAAGAGTCCTCGATTCAATTAAAGATCCATTTTCCCCCGATAGAATTACACTCAGATTTGCAAGGTACATTGTTCTTTGTTGTAAAAACCTTGTATCTTCTTGCCTTTTGGAATACTGTATTCCCAAATCTGCTCTTATTTAGGGTAAAAACTGCCAGGTTTTGCATGATCTTAACTAGTTTTTTGGTACTTAAAACTATTTCTAGATGATTGTTATATTTTATTTGATGCAAGAGCTCTGGATTTTGGCTATGACATTAGGACTTTTCCTTCTGGAGATTCTTTCAGAGGGTGGGTTCTTTCTATTTTCACTTTGTCCTCAGGTTCTAATAAACATATGCAGTTTTTATTTATATTTCTTGAAATATAGTGTCCAGGCCTTTTTTCTTTTAATTATGGGTTTAAAGGAGTCCAGTGATTCTTAAATTATCTTTCTTTGATCTGTTTTCCAAGTGGCTATTTTTAATTAGATCTTAGATTTTGTTTTATTTTCAGTCTTTTGATTTTGCTGTAATATTTCTTGCTGCCTCATGGAGTCACTGATTCTGTCTGGTCTATTTTAGCTTTCAAGGAGTCTGTTATTTGGGTAAAGTTCACCACTTTCTCTTTTAAACTATTTATTCTCCATTCAATTCTTTCTTCCAGAAGCTTTTATTTCATTTTTTAATTTAGTTGTTACTGTGTTACTCTCTCTCTCTTTTAGGATGATCTCTAGCATCTATAATATTTCATCCTGGTCAGTATCTTCTTTGGTTCACTCCTCGCTACAATTTAAGTTTCTGAATTGAACTCTTATACAAGAGTCAAGTTCCACCCTCTGCTTTGCTTTTGGATTGGATAGTCAGTCCTACTTCATCTCATTCTGGGTCCCTGGGGTCCTTGCACTGACCTCTGCCTTCCAGAACTTCTGAGAGGTCAAAGCATTATTTCTTCAGGGCTCTTTATTATGTCTCAGGACAAAGTGCTAGAGAATTCACTTACTGCAGGGTATGGGGTAACCCAGTCTGTGCACTTCTATACCACAATGGTTACTGCTACTATACTTGAATTCTAAGCCCACCCTGGGGACTTCTTAGGGTGAAGTGCTATCCCTGCTTGCTGTATTTGGAAAGAGAACCTTGTAAATTACATATTTCTCTGGCCTGTCTGTGGTTGCACTGGGAGACTGCTGGCTTATTTGCCAGTGCCAGTGCTAGCTTTGCTATCAGCTCCCTTTCCTATTGGCTATGATCTTTTGACTGCCTTTTTTTGTGCAGTTTTGGGATAGAAAAAATCATGCAGTCTCTTACTGGATTTCCTGATATTATTAGGTCTGGTGAGAATTTCAGGTTTTTGGTGGAATAGTTATGTAGGAGCTAGGTGGTCTGCCTCTCTGTTCGGGCAGCCACCTTTGCTGGAAGTTGATGACTACAATACTGTAAGGTATAACTTAATCATGACCTTAAAAGACTTAGGATGAAAATGTCTGCCACTTCTTGGTAGAGAGGTGATGGATTAAATGTACATAATGAGATACATATTTTAGACTTGACCAGTGTACTGATTGGTTTTGCTTGATTAGACTTATTTGTTACAAGAAGGGCTTCTATTTGGGGGATTCATAGTGATAGAATGTGAAAAAAATTTTAAAAGGAGGAAAAAAATCAATGAAATAAGAATATATGGAAGAAAACAAAAAATTAAGAGACATAAACAAATGGGGTAATTGTGTTACTACCTTGTTAAATTTAATATGCACTTAAAAATAAACTGTAGAGCACAGAAACCTACAATTCCATAAACAACTTCTTTTTGGTGTGTGTTGTCTATATATTGAAATGTTTGTCAGTTAGTCAACAATCATTTATTAAGCACTTACTATGTGTCAGGCAATGTGCTAAAACCCGAGTATAGATTAAAAAAAACAGTCCTTTGTCCTAAAGAAACTCAGATTCTAATGGCAGACAGCATGAAAATAACAATGTATATATGAAATACATAGGAAGCAGATGGAAAATAACCTAAGAGGGGAAGACACTAACAGCTCTGGGGATTAAGGAAAGCCTAATATGGTGGGATTTCATCTGAGTCTTGGGAATCTAAGAGATAACCTAAGAGAGCTAGGGAATCTAAAAGGCAAAGGAGGGCATTCTAGGCATGGACGATAGCCAATGCAAAGGCACTGAGAAGGGTGATGGAGCATCCTGTTCAAAGAAGTTGGAACATTTGGATCAGTGTAGCTAGATCATAAGAACACATGGAGGAGGTGTAAAGTGTAAGATGACTAGAAAAGGAAGACAAGGTCAGTTATGAAGAGCTTTCAGAGGGCACCACTGGAGATTATGGAGCAGTGAAGTGACCTGTGCTTTAGAAAAATTACTCTAGCAGATATATGGATGGAATGAAGTGGAGGGACACCAGAGGCAGGGAGACTAATTAGAAGGCTTTTTCAATAGTACAGACAAGGGATGAAGAAGATATAAACGAGAGAGATGTGAATGGAGAGCAAATATATAGAAAACATTGTGAAAGCAGAGACAGTAAGATGGATATGCGGGGTGAATTAGAGTGAGGAGTCAGACAACTCTGAAGTTGCAAAACTTGGTAACTGGGAAGGCAGTGTTATCCTTCACAGAAATAGGGAAATTCTAAAGAGGGGAGGGTTTGAGGGAAAAAATGCTCAGTTCTTTTTCGGACATGTTGAGTTTGAGATGCCTATGGGATACCCAGTTTGAGAGGTCAAAAAGACACAAGTCGATAGGAGGCTATAGCTCTGGAAAGAGACTAGAGCTAGATACATGGACCTAGGAATCATGTGCACTGAAACAGCAAATGAATCCTGGGGAGCTGATGCGATCACTAAGGGAAATTGTATAGATCAAGAAGGGAAGAAGAGCCTTGGAGGATACTCTTCGTTTGTTGGAATGACATGGATGAAGAACCCAAAAAGGAGACTACGAAGGAGCAGTCAGACAGACAGGAGAACCAGCAAAGAGCAGTATAATGAAAACCTAGAGAGTCTAGAGGAAGAGGGAAATCAATGGTATAAAATGCTGTAGCAAATTAAAAAAGGATGAGGATTGAGAAAAAGCCATTGGATTTGGCAATTAAGAGATCATTGGTCACTTTGAAGAGGGTGGTTTCAGCTGAATGACGAAGTTGGAAACCAGACTGCATAGAGTTTAGAAGGCAGTGAGAGAAGTGGAGTCACTAAGCATAGAAAGCTTTCTCAAAGAGTTTAGCAACAAAGAGAAGGAGAGATATGACAAGAATTGACAGGGATGTCAGACTGAGTAAGGGTTTCGATTATAGTTAACAAAACAATTAAAAATAGTTGAGCCATTTTGTCTTCTCTCTGTTGTACATTTTCCACTTTTGATTCATCACAAGCAGGGATCCTCCTTCCTTTTACTTCTACCATAGTCTATTAGAAGCCCTTCATGTTTTGAGCAGTCAGTGTGTAAAATTCAGCCCATTCTGGTCTTTAGTATTCTTGATATCATTACAGAACTATGCCACTCTGTTTTTGTTCATTCTCAAATTACCTATCTATCCACTGTGCCATCTAGCTGCCCCTGCTTCTATTTTCATCCACCTAAATTGGTCTATGATACAACTAGTGTTCTCTTTTCTTGTCCCTCTTTCTTTGGTCGTTTGTTTTTGGACTATAAGAATTTTGTTCTTGGCAACTTTCTGTTCCTTTCCAGCAAAATGCCTCCTGTTTTGGGCCACGAAACCTCCTACCCTTT